GGCTATGCGCCTTCACCAAAAAGGTTCAACTACGGTTGAATGGGGACTCAGGCTATGCGCCTTCACCAAAAAGTTCAACTACGGTTGAACCAAGACAGGCTATGCGCCTTCACCAAAAAGTTCAACTACGGTTGAACCAAGACAGGCTATGCGCCTTCGCCAAAAAGTTCAACTACGGTTGAACAAAGATTCAGGCTATGCGCCTTCACCAAAAAAGTTCAACTACGGTTGAACCAAGACAGGCTATGCGCCTTCACCAAAAAGTTCAACTACGGTTGAACCAAGACAGGCTATGCGCCTTCACCAAAAAGTTCAACTACGGTTGAACCGGGACTCAGGCTATGCGCCTTCACCAAAAAAGTTCAACTACGGTTGAACCAAGACAGGCTATGCGCCTTCACCAAAAAGTTCAACTACGGTTGAACCAAGACAGGCTATGCGCCTTCACCAAAAAAGTTCAACTACGGTTGAACCGGGACTCAGGCTATGCGCCTTCACCAAAAAGTTCAACTACGGTTGAACCGGGACTCAGGCTATGCGCCTTCACCAAAAAGTTCAACTACGGTTGAACCAAGACAGGCTATGCGCCTTCACCAAAAAGTTCAACTACGGTTGAACCAAGACAGGCTATGCGCCTTCACCAAAAAAGTTCAACTACGGTTGAACCGGGACTCAGGCTATGCGCCTTCACCAAAAAGTTCAACTACGGTTGAACCAAGACAGGCTATGCGCCTTGAAGTATCGCCTTCCAAAAATAACGGTTGACTAGATTCGACTACGGTGAGTAAACGACTCGACGACAGTCGAAGTCGCCTACATGGCTAAGGCCATCAATTATATTATGGCTAAGGCCATCGCCGCCAACGGTCGACCTAGATTCGACTACGGTGAGTAAACGACTCGACGACAGTCGAAGTCGCCTACATGGCTAAGGCCATCAATTATATTATGGCTAAGGCCGTCGATTCCATCACGACTAAAGTCGTTGATCTAAATTCGACCAGGGCCGCCAACGCCGACGGTCAACAAAAAGTGCAACAAATGCTCTAAAGAACGAAAGAGAAACAGTGACACAAAAAAAAGGAGGGGAAACAGAAGTCATATTTCATTTATATCCAAAAGATATACATATAACTGGCCTGAGAAAAGGCCCCATCTACACAAGAAATATATATACATACAAGCCCTAAGAGCCTTCACCACCCCTCCCGTCACGACCCGCCGGGTCGCCGTCCGGTCTGTTGCCGTCTCCAGACTGATAAGCCTTGGAAATCCACGAGCTGGAGTCCAAACGATTGACGTCCTCAGAATTACAGCCCTCCCTACCAGGCGAGTCGGAGCTATAACCGGCCGCTTCACGGGCAACACGGGTCAAGTGCCGTTGCCTTTCAACTTCCGCCTCGGAAGCTCGACCTGCCGCCAAAAACTCCTCAAAAACGACCAACCTGGCGTCATGATACACCCACATCTCGTGCGCCTCACGATGCACGGCATCCTGTGGGGCAGTTCGCCTGAGAACCTCAACTTCGGCCGTCCTAGCATCAAGCTCAGCTGTAAGGGCCGTGACCTGGGCCCGCAGTTCCGCAGCCTCCGCCGCCACCCCACAGCTTATCTCCAAGTCCTCCTCTTTTGACTGAAGGAGGGTTTCCAGCTCGATATTTCGAGCCAAAGCAGCCATCAGCTGCTCATCAATCTCCTTCAGCTCAGCCGTTCTCTTCTTTAAAAGAGCCTCTGATTCCTCAAGGCCCTCACGGAACGTCTGGAACTGGGGGTCCTGCTTAAGCATGTCTGCCAACGCCTGATGCTTGGCACGAACCTCTTTATACTTCTTCGCCATTTTGGTGAAAGTGGTCGCTTTCTTTTGTTCACGCCACCTCCTCTCCACCGTCGACAGTGAAATCAATCACCAGACCTCCGGGCCGAGGAACTACCTCGTCAACCGACGGAACTTCTCCGGTCTCTATCTGTTCTGCACCTCCCATTGCCGGAGGTGGCCCTTCAACTACCGGAAAATCTATCGGAAGAGCATCGTGGGAAGAACTGCCTGCCATTGTTGATCTACTAAAGAGAAAGGATAGAATTTGGTGGGCAAGACAAAGGTTATCACAATCAAAGGAAAGAAAGAAGAAGATGAATTAGCAGAATGAAAAAGTTTCCTCAGAATCTCTCTCAGATGAACAATGAAGATATGAGAAATGAATGCCTCAATCCACCTTTATAGGCAACATAAATGGCTTTCGCGAAACCAAATAGCCATCGTTAACTGCACGACCAACCGTAAAACGGTTCGGTTCTGCCTAAGCATGCGTCATTATGACAAGCTCCGCGAAGCGGTTTCTTAGCCATCCGCCAACGTCCCGCCGTCAGAATAATCGCAACGGCCTGCGAACGCTAAACGAATGTGCCGTACGCCTTCAAAATTCTGGACGTGACCAAATACGTACCCGGCGCATACTCATTCCCTACGGCCATCGCCAATATATGAAAGGCTACGGCCATCCCCAATATATGAAAGGCTACGGCCATCTCTAATGTATGAAAGGCTCTCCAATATATGAAAGGCTATGGCCATCTCCAACATGTAAACGGCTAAGGCCACCGCCGTCAATAAGTCGACCCCCTTATTCGAGTTTTTTCAAATCACAGTCGATGAAGTCCGCTCATCGAGCTCGGCCGAAGCACGACCTCAATAAGCGGAGGGACTAACTGTATGGGTCAGAATCCGATCTCACGGTAATTAACGGAGTTAATCTCGTCTTGAGCTAATCCATAATTAATAAGTGGTATGGCCACTTATTCATAAGAGGATTCGACTCTTGTCCAATTTAATCTACGAGGGCACGTCCCATTCATTCCCCCATGGGGACGGAACCTCAGCGTGGCCACGGCCATTTATTGCCAGCTCACGAAGCTCACATCTATAAATAATAAGAGTGGAAGCCCTAGAAAGGGGGCTGCTTCTTCACCACTATTGAGAAGAGAGAGAGAGAAGAGAAAAATATACCCATCTTATGGGAAGAGAAAACACCATTGTAAGGCTCTGAACCTCTTCATGGAGAGGCAGACCAAACCAATATTATCAATAAAGGCTTTTAATGTTTCTCCCCCTAATCCTGAGTACTTACTTTCGTTTCCTTCATGTGGTCCAACGGATTATTACGGTTTGCTATGATTTTCCCGTGATTTATTTATATTGTTTTATACTCATAAGATATGTGATAACTTTTGAGCAAACAAAGTACAACAAGGACGTAGATTCATCCGTGAGAACCAAAATCAAAGTAAGGAAAACTGCGTACCTAGAGGAGAAGGAATATAGGAGAATGACAGCAAGTTTATAGAGAAAGACAGAAAGTAGATGTCAAATAATGCCCCATAATGGCAGCATGTTCGAGAGAAAAAGAGGCAGTAGCTATCAAATAATGCCCCATTCTAATTTTAATTTGGTTTGATAGTCATGTCCTTGCTTTAATATTAAAGATTGAGATTTATATAATATAAACTCTTAGATAAGAAGTCAAATCTCACCACTGCATACGAAGTCATGTCAATCATGATTTGCTTCATAGAGATTTCGAGCGATTGACATGAAGGTTTGTTGCTACTACTTATTTGGTTCTGATAAAAGCAGGAAGAAGCAATATAAGAACTGTATGGTGTATAGTAGCATCCTAACTCTGGAGTTCTGCAGACACAAATTTACATGATGAGAAGTTTTAAACAAAAGGTACATCCGAGATAACTCCAGATTTTACATAACTGAAAAGAGATAAAATTTTGATATTTTTGTAAGCAAAGTGGAGACAAACATTTGCGAGTCCCCTAGGAGGGAGTATTGGAGCCAGACCAATCAGTAACAACAGAGTTTACTCCCAATATAACACTTTTCGGCGCTAATTCGAATTTAATCAGGCCCCTATACAAATAAAGGATGCTGAGCAAGAAATCGAAAATAAATGAATTAAAGAGAATCATTTGTAGTAATTGAAAAGTCATGTCGTAATTGAATCTACGGACCTGTAACATGTTTGGGGATTGTTATGTATGTGTCATGTCCAAATAAATAATTTTCTTGTGAGACAATGCCTCACGTGCGAACTATATGGTCCACCTCAAAATTTTTGTTGTGTAAATAAAGATTCATAAAAGAAATAACTTCGACTAAAGGCGCATACAATGGGAATTTTTTTTGTAATAAAGTAGCTCGCAAGAACCTTAAAACAGATATACCTTATTGATTTTGGAAGATCCAATATATGTTGCTTCACTAATCATTCTGCATTTTATAATTGCAAAGTATAGATAGACAGTGAACCCTCCTCCTTTTTTCGGGCTTGGGACCGGCTGTGGTGCAGTAGTGTAACTGAAATACAGGCGGAGTTAAAAACTTGCTTTTTTAATTGTTGAGCTAAAGATCATTAGGTTTCCTACGAGAAAGCTTTCTGAATAATTTCATCATAAACCACATTATATGTTGAATGATCATCATTACTGTCTGTTGTAGATGGGCGAATCAGTATTTTAACACAGTTTGAACTTTTCGCTCTTAATAAAGCAACATAAAGTTGACCATGAGAAAAAGCAGGTTCACGTAGGTAAATTCCAACAAAATCTAATGTTTGACCTTGAGCTTTGTTTATGGTCATAGCAAAGCACAAGCATAGAGAAAATTGTGTTCTCTTAAATTGAACAGGTATTTTTTCATCTTGTGATGTTAACAATGGTATTCTCGGAATAAATACATGTGTATTTTTGAAATCACCACTTTCAATTTTAGCACTTATGACATGTGTTCTAAAGTCACATCATGTTAACCGTGTGCCGTTGCATAAACCTTCGCAAGGATTCAGATTTCGTAACAATATAACTGGACAATTCTCCTTTAAAGTTAACTTATAAGGCGGTAAACCAGGAGGATCTAAACTATGTAGAAAATCTTCAAACTGGCTTTGATCATTCGGTTCAATAGTTTCATCTATTGCAACAAATGTTTTAGACCTTTATGGGAATTTAGTGATTAACATATTACTTATTTCGTTTACAAAGTCATTCTTCGTTGTTAAAATAACACGAGAGGTTATCATAGATGAATCAGGAGAAAATGCATGCAAATCAGGATACGTTACACTAAACAGTGCATCTAAGGATTCCGCTTCAGTCGTAAAAGGAATAACAAAAGAATTAGGAATCTCTATTTTGTCTTCACAGTTAGTTCTTTCTGTTCCATTTCCATTTCGAAGTAAATATTCACAAAAAGAAGGATCTGTTCTTGCTCGCATATTTTCAAATAGGTATAATTTCTCAAGTTTATTCCAAATTTCAGAATACAATAAGCTTTCATGAATAAAATCTTCTTTTTTTCCATTTCGAACAACTGGTGGAGTTTGTCTAAAGTCACCTCCAAATAAAATAACTTTACCACCAAACATTGTATCGACGTCCATAATATCTCTCAAAAGTGCATCAAGAGCTTCAATCATATTCTTTTTTGCCATTGATGCCTCATCCCATACAATTAATTTTGCATCTCTAATTAGACGTGTGAGTGAACTTTGTTTACTAATGTTGCAACGAAAATTATCATTTATATCAATAGGCATTTTGAACCGTGAATGAGCAGTCCATCCTCCTGGAAGGATAGAAGCTGCCACACCAGAAGTTGAAGTTGCAGTTGATAACAAGTGCTGTTTTATTTTTGGCCAAGACGGATTGCATGTCATAGTAAAAAATAATCAGGTTTTCCAAAACGTTGCACTAATGCAATATCATCCATATACCGTCGATGCATATCTCTTGGCCCTCCTATAAAAGTAACAGGGAGGAATGTTTTCTCGCCAATCTTGGAAGCTTCTGTTTCACCAAGTCTTAAAAAATTAATAAGTCCTTGTAGCATATCTATTCGAAACAAATCTTGATTAAAAAAATAAAAATTTAATCTTTGTGTTTCTAGCTTTATGAACATATCTACTATGAATTGTTGAAATAATCTTCCACAACATGAGACTTCATTTTTTTCATCCTCTCTTATCTGAAATTTGTAACAGTAATACTCACGGCAAGAAACTGTCATTCTTTTTCGTTTTCCGTTTCTCATAGTCTGAGCTTCCATATCAAGAAATCCATTAATGGAACACATGTTCTTTACACTCGGTAATTCTTCATGTTTACAATAACGTTGATCTCTTCGTGCGATTTTTTTTAATACCACAATGCCATCCGTTTTGATCGTATGGAAATAATAACGGGTATTGTAATGGGTCATAACATTCATAATAGTACTTTACTGACTGAGTCTTGTCACTATGTGTGTATATACGAATATGAGGTGTAGAAAACAGTATCGGCAGCATTATCATGTACCCATATTCCAGCCACCTCTGTTGTAGTTGGTAGATTATATACACGTTGATCTGACTTTGGTTCACATTTAAGCACGATATAATAATCAGATAGTTTCAGAACGTTTGTCAAGGATTTTTAAAAAATGGAATATGGATTAATTGAGAGCACATGCATAAGTTATACTTGAACAAGCCATTCTGTTCGCCAGTTCATTTTCGTTATCGTAAAAGTATAACTGCATATTCTTTCCTTTTTTATCAGAAGCAAGTAAATCAGGTATAAAATGATACATTTGTCCCTTAACTCGAAACGTATATATACCATGATATCTCCTCGCCAAATCTTTATCATTGGTTACACCAAGTGAAGTAAAGACAAACATATTGTTGTATGTTATAATGTAGGTTCAAAAGTGCTTAGCTTCTTCAGTGTTGCCTTTATACAAATCTGATAATTCATTAGGCAGCTCATATGAAACTAACTTAACTGACCCGCTGCCACAACAAAATCCAGGAAGTTCATATTGAAACCTTTTTGCATTGCAAAATTTACAGTTTGGAACATATTTTAATTGTGCATAATCCGCATCTTTGTCATTATTTTTCTTATGGATTACTTTGGTCAAGGTATGACCTGTATGTTATAAGTATTGTTAAAAATAAAGACATGGAAAATATTCTACTAATGAATAGTGTTACTCTAGCGTAAAAGAAATACTAACCTTTGCTTGTGGCAGTAGGGAACACATTTTGTTGTCTCTTAGATGTACGCGATGTTGATCCTGGGGCACATATTGTCACAATTTAGATATACACCTAAGCCGTGACGTACTAACAAAGATGTTCATAGACGTTCTAGCTTTACCTCTTTCAAATACAGAAAATGCATGAGCAGCATTTTCTCCTTTATCAAAAGAACTTGAGGAAGTATTAAGTCCTGCCAACTGCGACAAATACAAAACACATTTTACATTTAATATATTCAAGCAAATGCTTATAAAATAATTACTTAGTAAAATATGAATATTTATCTGTCTGCTGCTACATTAACATAACGTAAATAAAACGTAATAATTCAGTCTAACTTTCGTCGTCAGCAGAAGAAGCCTCTCTTATGATAAGAGCAGTATGTTTTCGAATCATAGGGTGACATTGATAAATTACTCTTTCATCTGGATCAACTGCCGATTTTATGGAACTATTCCATTTTTGCCGCTCAAGTTCTTTGGTGCGGCATTATAGTAACATTGCCTCTTTTTTATCAGGCGATATTTGCCCATAGATATCACGTCTTCTGACATTCTTGTCAGAGTTTGTATTCTGCATATGGCCGTTTGTTTCTTTGGCCGGAAGATATTTTTTTCACAATTTTATTACCACAAGATAACTGCATTTATAGCATTCAAATCAGAAAAGGCATCAGCGGACCCTAAGTAACAAATTTTGTTGTTCATTCTAGTGGTAAATAATAGAAAGATAATAATCCATTGGGGTTCAGTCTTTTAAAGACCAATTCTTTTAAAGAAAGTAGATAGAAGCAAAATAAAAAAAACTGAAGAGAACTTAGAATTCACATAAGAAATCCAAAATAAACAAATTAATAAAAACAGAGAACAAATCAGAACCCAACCTCAGTTTGTTTTCACCTTTCTGAAACGAATCTTAAGACTAAACTGAAGAAAAGATTGCTAATCAAGCCAAAACCCTAAAGATATGATCTTTTTGCAGAAGAACAAAAAGTAGAACAGAAAGCATAAATAAAATAAAAAACCTGCTCTTTGTGGTATGTGTGAATCGAAAAAGGCTGATTACTCAAATTGCGTTGAATTATTAGGTGAGGTCTGCTAGATTTTGGGACAATTGATGTTGTCCTCTTTCCTTTCTTCGTTATTTTTGTTTTGGGAGTGGATGCTTACAAGTTCTGAATGGAGTTTTTAGCTTTGAGAAAATTGGGAGTCCACGCGTTGGTCAGCAATAAGGTTGAGCTGTAAATTACTGAAATTACGAAAATACCCCAAGACAAATTAGAAAATTCAAAGGAACAGACACGTTGACAGAGAGGTGCATGTGTTCCCTCTTCTAATATAAGTAGGAATTTGGGGTCTAGTCATTTAAATCTGAGAGGTTCGATCAGGTCCTCTTTGGTAACCTCTAAGTGCAACGTATCTAGGGTGAACAACGTGTTGGGGCATATACTATTAACCATGCATTTAGATAATTATTATGGTTAAAAGTTTAAGTGGGAGATTGTTGGGATATATACTATTAACCATGGGTTTGGTTTAGATACACTAGTTTTTATTATACAATAACTGTTTATTCAATTTTAATAAAGTTTTAAATAGATCATATATTAGTCTGTGTCCTTTGCTTATATAGTAGATGATTTAGTGTATAGAGTTCAGCTTATATACGGAAGATTAAATCATCGGTTCTTATAAGTATAAAGTTTGAGTTCACAATCTAATGATAGAATTGGACAAACAATCATGGATGATCGCAGCACAAGATTAAATATAATTTATCTTGATTATGGGAATGGTTTAATTCCAACTTCTTGTGCTAGTACATTTTGTATGTATTGAACGGACCAATTATAGATAAGTATTTTATACCGACTTAATAAAATAAACTCTCTAGCCATTAAATGTACTTATACTCTTAATCTTGATATAATTATTATTAGCTGCGGACATTATTATTGTTTTGATTTATTAAAAGGCGAGATTCTTTAGTGGGTCAATATGCCTGGTAAATTGGATAATAATAATGTACATTTGCGAAGTAATAGTTAGTTGATGGAACCCATGTCTCAGTTTATAGATTGATGATACACATTACGAAAGTTTATAAGTTTTCATGTGTAAACCCGGTCGGTGGATTTTGTATCCGACACATGAAATAAGTTAAGCAAAAGTCTAAGGAAATAATCAATAAATTAAATCGTCAATAATTTAATTTAATTGATTAGTATCTGAATCTTAACATGGAGATTTAAATAAGATTTAATGGATGAATTTCGAAATTGAATAAGGAGTGCAATTACGAATTTTTAGAGGAATAATTCGTAACTAATTATGGTACATATTAATTTAGAAAATTAGAAATTAATTCCATAATTGGAGCCTTGTTAATTAAATTTTGTGGTCCCTACTGTGCCTAAATAATAGAAAATAAAGGAATCCTTTTTCTGGTGGAAAAGAAAACCCAACAGGTTTTGGAAAAGGGGTTTAACCCTTAAAACTTACGCTATAAATACATAAGGTTTTCCACCTAGAGGGAGTAGTACATGGTGGCCGAATTTTCAGCCAAGTTTTTCTAGAAAATTTTGCCTACACGAAAGTGCTATTTTCGGATATTATTTGGGTAACACAGTAGAAGACCGTGAAACGTTTAGAGATCGTGATCGAGCGGGTGATGGAGATTTCAATGAGTTGCTGTGGAATTATAGGCTCACGTGACAGAGGAGCTTTGTTTACGCTTCAAGAGGTAACCCGTGAAATTCCGTTTATACTAGTTGTCTAGATTACATGTGATTTTGATACTGGGATTGCTTTTGCTGTTTATTATAATCCATCAATTGGTATCAGAGACCACTCACATCTAATTAGATAACTAAGTGTTTCATGAAACAAGAATATCGTGTTTATGTGCGTTTTGGAATTACATGTATATGTGATTTTCTGAAAAACTGCACTGCTATTTTGTGAATTAACTGTGCAAAAAATTTGGATTATTCTTGTAATCATGAGATATCTGTTTTTTATTGATATTTGATTGGGATGATCTGGATATTTTTTTGGTAAACTGTAACAACCCGATCGGTCGTTTTGAGCTCTAGCGCGTCATTCGGCGGTTTGAGGCCATGAGTAGCTTCACTTCAGGTATTATGACTTGTATGTATGGTCGGAATCGAAATTCGGGAAGTTCGGATTGTATTTGGAAAGAAAATTCTCATTTCAAAATCTTGAAGTTGGAAAAATTGACTAAGATTGGATTTTTGAGTAGACAACCTCGGAATCGGGATTTGAAGGTTCCGGCAGGTTCGTATGATGATTTTAGACTTGGGCGTATGTCCTGATCGGTTTTGGATGACCCGGGAGCATTTCGACGCCTATTGTGGAAGTTAGCATTTTTGGGTGAATTTTCATAAATTTGGGATGAAGTGCATTTCAGTGTTAATGATGTCCGTTTGGGATTCCGAGTCTGGGAATAGCTCCGTATGGTGATTCTGGTATTGGGAGCACGATCAAAAGTAGATTTGGAGGTCCGTAGGTCATTTTTGAGTCATTTAGCTGAAGTTAGAAATTTGAAGGTTTTTCAGAAGTTTGACCGGAAGTGGACTTTTTGATACCGGGGTCAGATTCTGATTCTGGAAG